GACACACTTGGCCCGCCCCGTCGGACCAGGTCCCGGGCGGACAGACGCCGACACATGTGCCATCAAGCAGCCAATCACCGGCCAGGCACGCCGTACAGGCCGCCGGGTCGCCGGGGTGCGCACATTCAGCGCAAGACCCATCGCAGGGGTCACACCGCGGGCCCGCCGCCCCGGAAGGACAGACCACCTCCAGCGAGACGGACATCGGCCCGGTGGCCCGCGACACGATCATCAGGCTCAGCACGGTCCCCTGCTGCAGAGGACCCTGGCTCTGGCCGTGACTGCCCGGCGCCAGGCCGACCTGCGCCACGGCCGGCAGCCAGAAGGACACATCGCTCGGGAGAGCCACCTCCAGCGGCAAGTCCACAAATGTCGCCGGCAGCAGAAAACACGGCCCAGTGGCCCCGGCCGGGCAATGCAGCAACGACACCCCGATGAAGGTGCGCGCTTGCACGAGCAGCGCGCTCGGGTAGGCCGGGCTGCCGGCCGACAGATCGACCCCCTGGAACAGGGCATTCCGTGGCCCGGTGCCGGACTGGGTCAAGGGCTCGGGGAAGACACCGAGCAACTGCTGCTCCGAGGGGAGCCCCATGGACCGGCCGGTTGGCAGCATGTCCCCCGGGGCCCGGACAATCACCCACTCGGCGCCCACCATCCGGGAGAAGACCAGCTCCGCCGGGGCGCCGGCCCCCCGGGGGAGCAGCACCGGCACGAAGGAATTCTCCGACTCCGGCAGCCCGGGCACGAAGCTCCCGGACAGGGGGGCCACGCGCGGGTCCCCACTCACCAGGGGCAATGGCGCGGCCGTGGCCTTGGCATGGGCCGTGGTCCACACGAACCAGTCTCCGAGGCCCGGCTGGGCGCGGCCGCCGGCCGCCGCCTCGGAGGCGAGAGCAACCCCGCCAGTGGCTGTCAGAGCTGTGAAGTGCGGTGTTCTGGCCGCCTCGTCGACCTGAATGACGGTCATCAGCTGGGGTCCCTGGGGCATGAGGGCGCTCGTGGGGCCCATGCGCCAGACCGTGCTACACCCTCCGCCCGGCGCGATGTGACTCGCCCTGCCCGTGACCACGCATGGCGCTGGGCCGGAGCAGGTCAATATCACCACCTGCGACGCGCCGGATGCCCCGCACAGGACCACCATGTACGCGATTTCCGTCCCGAACACAAAGGGCCCCAGCTCGGCGAAGGCCACGGTCGGCGTGGCCGGATGCGGAGCCAACAGGGAAATCGGCTGCACGGCCGGCCGGTCGGGCTGCCCAATGTGACCGGCCGACATGAGGTACGTCTTGCGCTGCTCCGTGAAGAGCAACACCCGCGGCCCGGGGCCACCGGCGGCCGAGGTGGTGCCGATGGCCGGCAGCACCGGGCCTCCGGTGGCCAGGTCGCCCATCAGCCACGACTCGCCGATGGCAATGACCCGGTCGCCGGAGTCCAGCCCGAGCATCGGGTACTGGCCCGGCGTGGTCAGCATCATGTTTGGCAGGAAGGCCCGGCTGTTGAGTTGACACATGCGGTCCACCGGCGTGAAGCCGAGGGGACAGCTGCTCACGCAGGCGGTGCTGCCCGCCACGGCATCAACCAGCAGGAAGAACCCATCTCGACACAGGAGACAGTGCTCGGCGTTGCAGGTCTGGCAGTCGGTTTGCGGGCAAGGTTGGCAGCTATGGCCCCGCTTGGAGAAGGGCGCCTCGCCTGGGGAAAGGCCGGCGGTGTCAGGCACGGGGCGCTCCCGAGAAATGGCCAGCGGCCGGCGGCGGCGGCGGCGGCAGCAGCAAAACAGACGAAAAAGACCGGCCAATGCAGGGTGAACACGCGAAACGCACCGGCCGGCCGGTCCAGGTACCAGCCATCCGCGCACCCGGCGCACAGCTGGCCGGCCGCCACAAAGGGCGACATTACATGGCCCGGGGCACACGCCCAGCCATTGGACCAATCGGATGTCCGACCCTCGACACTGCACAGGATGGTGCTGTCGGTCTGACAGCCGAAGGCCTCCGAGTCGAAGAGCACCGTGTTTTCCGACAGCAGGGCCCAAATGCCGGGGGCGCTGCCGGGGCCATTGTAAAATCGACCCAGCTGTAGCGTGCCAGTGCTGGTGATGCCCGGCGGCAGGACCACCCGGCGCAGGGACAGGACTCCTTGCTCGACATGGGACCGCCAAAGCTGGCTCTGGATGTCGCTGCCATTGCGCAGCAGCACGTAGAAGGGCACCGGGGTGCCAGACATGGCGGCCACCGGGGCGGCCAAAATCCCCGATCCACTCCAGTCCACCCCGGCCGGGATATCCACGAAAAGGGGGTCCCCCGGCGGCCCATGCCCGAGGCAGGGCACCACGGCCAGCCTGCCGCCCTCCAGCAGGAGCACCACATCGGCACCGAAGGGGCAGCTGCTTTCCGTGGAGATGACCCAGGTGGCGGCAATGGCCAGGATCCTGGCCGACATGTCCACGTAGTTGCTATAGAGGCCGGCGCCGGTCACCACGGCCACATACCGGAGCCGCATGTCCTCGGCCATGTAGAAGGAGCTCGCATCGCCGGCGACCGCCGCCGAAACCGGCCCCGACAAAGTGATGGACGACGCGTCGATTCCCCCCAGGCCGAAGTCGGTGACCTTCGCCAAGTAAACCACCGGAACGCTGCCCGGGGCTTCGGTCACGCCCAGAAAGAGCGCCTCGGTGCTTGACAAGGCCACACCAGCCAGAACCGAGGTCGTCGGCTCCGGAAGCACATACTCCAGGGCCGAGGTGTAGATCTTCACCTGGGACCGGTTGTGTTCCAGGAAGAGGGTCGGCTGGCTGTCGCTCCGGGACAGCCAGAGCCCGGGCCAGCCGCCAGCCAGGCTGTTCCCCTGGCGGAGCAACAGCTGTTTGGAGTTCCCGAAAAAGGGGCCCCAGCGGAACTCGGCCAGGCTCGGCTGCAGGTCGTCCTGCAGCAAGCTGGTAATCGTGCCCGGCACGTCCAGGTCTTGGGCCATGGAAAGGGACCGCGGCCCGGTGGTAAGGCGGATCGGCAGCGAGCTTGTCTTGATCGGATATGGGGCCGAGTACAGGAAGACATCCTGCCCGGACGTCAGGGCAGCCAGCAGGAGCACGAGCACCAGCAGCGCAAGGACCAAGACCCCGGGCAGGCCCCCTGCCCGGGCCGCGGGCCGCCGCCGCCGCCGCAGCAACATCATGCCACGCCTGCTGGATATGGTTGTGGCGGGCCTGGCCACAGCGGTGCAGCCGTGGGGGGGGGGGGGGGACTCGGCAAGGGCACGGGCGCGGGGTGTGCGGGCGAGAGGGGGAGGGGGGACAGAGAAAGGGAGGGAGGGGGCAAAATAATAACAAAGGGGCTGCCTGGCCGCCGGACATCGTGTGCCGCTGGGGCTCTTTTGGATGCCACTGCTGTCACCACTACCAGAGGGGGGGGGGGGGGGGAGCGTCGCCGGGCATAACCCCCCCCCCCGGCTTTCACGCCGGTTGTGCCATCACCAGCGATTGGCTCGGCCTCCGCATTCGGGTGAGGGGAGGGGCGAAAAAAAGAGCCGCGCCCGCCCGGAACTCCCCGGCGGCCTGCCGCCATTCAAGGCCGCCTCCCCCTGCCGCCGGGGGGCGGGGGAAGACAACGCGCGCGCGCTGGGGACTTGCGCGTCCCCCCACCGGGGTCGCCCGGCCGGGGGGAACGACCGTGTTCGTGGTCCAGCTGCGCATCACTCCGAGGACCTGGCTGCCCGCGCGCCCGGCCAGCGTGCTGGCGAACGGGGGGGTGGCGACGCGAAGGGGCGCTGGAAATGCCGTCTCTCGGGGTTTGCTTGATGCCGAGCAGCGGCCGGCGCGAGGCCCTGGCGCAAGGGGATTGGCGCCGGCGGAATGTGCATCCGTTGGCTGTTGTGAGCTCGGGTGACCCGCGCCCCGAGGCGCGGCCTTTCCCAAACAGCCGGGGGGACCCTCTTCTGCAGGGGGCGCGTGGCTCTCGGGGTTCGTGTGTTCCCCGTCTCTCAGTCGCCCAGGCAATGGGCCGGGCCGGGGTGCTGCGCCCATTCGCCCGCTCCTCCGCGCGTTCGGCCAGCCGGGCGCGCCCGTTCACGCGCCCAAATGGCGGCCATCGACGGCCGGCCCCGGCCACCCACTGCCGGCGAGGGACCCCCGGGCGGTTCGCTTCTCGGCCGCACGATCTCCGGCGGTGCCATCCGCCGGTTGCCTTCGGCCGCCGCCAGCCCCATGGGCTGGGCAGCCCCCCGTCCGGCCCGGGTGCCGGGGCGAGCGGGCGTGCAAGCGCGCGCGCTCCGCACCCAGCCATAAGCCATACCGGCCGTCGGGGCCTGGAGCGCGCCGATCATGGGACTGCATTCCCAGTTCCGACTGATCTGCACGGAGAGATGCCCTCCAGCAGCGTCAGAACCGACAACATGCTGCGCCCGTGTGGCAGGGTGCCCTTGGGCATCCGGCTGACCAGATCCATGTCACGAGAGGCCCCAGCCGAAGCAGGGTTCTTGCCGGTCCGGTCCCCGCGTTGGCAGGCTCTGCCAGCGATCGGCCGCTGGTTGCTGCTCTCTGGGTAGCGGCGCGTCAGCCGGGGCGCTTTCGGCGCCTGAAACGGGGCAACTCGATGATCCGCCGCATGGGGGCCGGTTGGCGGGCAGGCAACATCGGGGGGGATCCCCCGCGATGCACGGCCCGAGGGGAGAAGCTCCCCGGCGACAGGCGGCCACCAGCTTGGCCAGCGTTCCGGTGGTGCGTCTCGGCACACGGCTGCCAAGATCTTCACTCTGGGCCGGCCCCCCGGATGCCAGCCCGACCATGTGTGTGTGTGTGTGTGTGTGTGTGTGTGTGTGTGTGTGTGTGT